GCTTTCAGCCCCCTCTAAGCGGTTTACAGAGTCAGCATATCGGCCCCAACAACAATCCGGGTCCTCATTTTACCCACCTTGGAGGGATGGAAGGCTGAGTCAACCTTGAGCCAGTGAGATTTGAACAGCCCAACTGCAGTCAGCTGAAGTAGCCTGCAGTGCTGCATTTAACCACTGTGCCACCTCTGCTCACCTAAATGCAAGAGGGACTTAATATCTTAAAGGCTGAAATTAAAGTTCTCATTATGTTTCTCCAGAAAGTATTTTGCATTTTGATTACTAGCAAATTTAACATAAAGCTTTTTTCTGTTTGTGAATTGTCCTTGAAATGTTAGGCAAAGCATGGGATATATATATAAGTCTGTTAAAAACGCTATCATGGACCAGTTTGAGTTTGTGTCCTGTTTGTTCCCACAGCAGCCAGTTAGATTTTTCTCCAAATTCTGTCAGAGATGTCAATCTGTTTGTCTAAACATTGTTTCCCAGCCTTTGCAACTTTGAGATCATTCTCTTTGCAATGGCCCAGCCAGTTCTGAGAGTTGAAGTCCACACTTTCCAAGATTGCAGAAGTTGGAAAATACTGGTTTAAAATCTCTCTGTGTATTGTCAGGATATGTGGCTGAGGAAATGCAATTTTAAGACCAGCCTCAGGCAAGCAAAGGTCACTGGGTAACTTGGAGCCAGTTTTTCTCTCTTGCCCAATCTGTCTCACTAAATCCTTATAAAATAAAATAAAATAAAAATCTTGCCTGGTCCTGTTTGCTGTGATGCTTTCTTCAGCAAGTCCTGATTCAAAAATGTATTTCCTTTTAAATTCTCATTAGGATGCTGAAAAGAAAATGAAAGAGCAGCAAGATGAGGAGCAGCGGAAGAAGCAGGAAGAAGAAGATAAGAAGAAGAAAGAAGAGGAAGGAGAAGAGGAACCCGAGGGTGAAGATAATGAAGAGGAAGAGGAGGAGGAGGAGGAGGAAGAAGAAAAGGAAGAGGATGAAGAGGAAACAGAGGGCCCATTGAAGGACGAGCTGTGATTGGGGGTTGTTGGGTATGCTTGTTGGTTGAGCCTTGCCCTGGACTTGTACCATTCAGTTGAACCCAACTAAGGAGAGGGGATAACAGTAATGTCTCTATGAGACACAAGAACTTTCTTTTTTATTGGTGTGTTTGTCTTAACTCCTTCCCAAATATCATCAAATTACTCATTCATGTGTGTAGGGGCGGGGAAACTAGAACCTGCATCAGAAGGCGGCTAATTGTAGGAATACAGCCCTCGGAAAGGGGATTTATTCCATTGACCCTTCTCCTCCTCTGTGGCCACTTTTCCAGTAAATATTTGCCTCTACTAGCCCTTCTCAATGGATGTAAAAAGCAAAACTCTTGTGTCCATCTAAAGTTTGCCTTTATCCTTTGAAGGTACAGGGGGGGTGGGGGTGTCGGGTGGGGGCGATGGGAGGGCTTGGTAGCATAGGTAGCTCCAGATTTCAAAGACATTAAATTGAAGCAACCAGTATTATATACCATGCGTAAGGCCAGTGGTATTGATATCGAGAGATCCTGACTCCAGTCGGGGAATGCAAAAATTAGGTGCTTCAAAAGCACAAGTGTTCTGAGCAAATTTAATTTTTTATTTCTGAATTCTAGCTTTTAGCCTATTTCCTTGGGTGTTGGGTTGTTCAGGAAGGTGTTTGTAGAGCACCAGCAGGAAGGTAAGAGTAGGGATTGGGGTGGGAGTTCACGCGTAAAAGGTCTCTCTTCGGGCAGAGAGGAAGGGGGTGGGAGGGGTTTCTGGAAGGCGGAAAGAACAGTATCAGATGGGTCATCCCACTTGTTCACACTTGAATGTATGGAAGATTGAAGAAAATTTCTATTAAATTAAACTTCACGTCTGGCCCATATGCTGATCTTTTGCTGTCTTTATTGCTTGGGGTTAGGCGGGAGTTGCAAACGTTTTTTGGTATTACAATGCATGGTGATATCAGATGCTTGGAAGACCCAGTTTGGTGTGGTGGTTAAGGCATCCGGCTAGAAACTGAGAGGTTGTCAGTTCTAATCCTGATTTAGGCACAAAGCTGGCTGGGTATCCTTGGGCCCAGTCACTTCCACCACTAGGAAGGAGATAACAAACCACTTCACAAACCTTGCCAAGAAAACTGCAGTCTGAGAAATGGATACAACGGAATGGAAAATATATAGTAGTATATGACCCTTCTATTCTGAGAACAACTAATCCTTGTGGAACTTCGAGAATGTAAATTGTTGAGTTGACCCCCTTCAGACTTATGAGAAGTTGAAGCATGACAAGATGGAAGGCAAGCTTATCTCAAAGGTGAATATTTGATGAGCGCGTTCACTTCCTGTACTTGAACTCAGTCCTCTTGACTATCACCTTGAGCCTCCCTTTTTTCCCCTAGTGGGATGGTTATCCCCAGGAAACGAGTGGGACATTGGCAAGCCAGCTGCAAGATTTAATTGCAAATTGGTGGAGAAGTTAACCACGGTAGTTTGATATTACAGTACAATCTTGTGTATACAAGTAGAAGCTCCGCTTTTGAGCAAGAGTTGGAAAGTTTTGGTTACTCAGCTAACCTTCATGTATTTAGGCTCGTCATTCTGCTAATGTTTGCAAATAAGCCCTGGATCGGCTGATTTCTAGCAAAACAATAAGCGTTTATAACAGCGTTTCTCAACCTTGTCAACTTGAAGATGTCTGGACTTCAACTCCCAGAATTCCCCAGCCAGCATTCGCTGGCTGGGGGATTCTGGGAGTTGAAGTCCAGACATCTTCAAGTTGACAAGGTTGAGAAACACTGGATTAGGGTGTGGTGTGTGTGTGTGTGTGTGTGTGTGTGTGTGTGTGTGTGTGTGTGTGTGTG